TTTTAACCCCTCTGTACAGTATGTTCACAAATAAAATAAAAAAAAAATAGGGTTGGGATGTAGTGTAGTGGCAAAGCACTTGCCCAGCAAGTGCAATGTCCGGGACTAAAAAAGAAAATACAACAAAAGGAAAAAGAAAAAAAAAAGACAGCAGAGCTGGGAGGGGCTCAGTGGTAGAGTGCTTGCCTTGTATGCATGAGGCCCTGGCTTCAATTCCTCAGCACCACATAAGCAGAAAAGGCCAGAAGTGGCACTGTGGCTCAAGTGGTAGAGTGTTAGCCTTGAGCTGAAGAGCTGAGGGACATTGTTGTTCAATGTTGGCCTCCTTGAGCCAAGGAGAGCTTCATAAAAGTAGCAACCATAACTCCATCTTTCTTTTCACTCCTTTATTTGAAGTGCAGTTGAAACATAATATAAACCCAATGGATATTTGTAGTAAAACTCATCAATCACTAATTACTTCATTTTCAAAACACTATCCTTTCAACCTTCATTGCATCAAAGATGCCTAACTCTTTGAGATGCTCCAACACAAAGGCAAATGAAAGTTTGTTTGTCCTAGGAAAGGTGAATTTGAGGCCCAAATAGAAGTATAGAGGAGTTACATGTTTGCATGTCTTCACTCATAAAAATTACCTCTGGAAATCAGAGGTGGACACCACTGGAAAAGCTGATAAAACACAAACTCCTCAGATTACAAACTGACCAGAGGAACACAGCAGACAGACCAGGTGACCAATGGGACTTACATGTAGATTGTGTGTGTCAATCAAAGGCTGTACCTGGGATGTTTCAGAACCCTGTGCGGCCTGCCAGGCAGGAGATAGAAATGGATGGGTGAGGCTCCGGCTGGAGCAGCTCTGCACACGTTAGCAAGGGAATCATAACACCGCATTCCATTCTATTTACGCACCCAGCTTTGGCCCAACTGCCAAATGTGATGGCACTGTTATCTAAACTTAAACTTCCTGGCGCCTGCTTGCACGGGTGTTCTGGCTTTATTTTTTAAATGAGCCTTTTAGGAAAGTTACTACTGTATAGAGTGAAAGGAGAGGGAATCGTAGACGAGAAGAAAAGAAATTGAGCTGTAGAAAAGAAATTGCTCAGCTGCCATTATGGGAATACACACAGCCTATGTATTCAAGGAAATTTGAAGTTAAAGCTAAAATCAACCATATGTACACCCATATGCAGACATATCGGGACAGTTTCTGAATTGCCTCTTTGTACCATGTTGAGTGCAACAATAATCCCACAAAAAGGAGATAAACCACAAGACCTTTGATAATGGATACTGATATGTTCTTTACTAAAAAGAAGATGTAACCTAGGAGGAAGAAATGGGGAATCAAAAGCCTGTTCCATAATTGCTTAAATTACTTTTTATTCTACCATCTCCTTTTATGAAATACAGCAATGGGTCATGTCCTGCTCCCTTACAAAGGGTGAGGATTGAACACATGGGAAATTCTCAATGGAGAAAACCATTGAAGTGCTTTGTTTTCCAAACGCTAAAAATGAAAATAGAAAATATCTGAGGGTCTAGAAGCAAAGACAAAACTTTCCAAGATTACCCATGATGTCTGGCAAAGAAACAGTTCTTTTTAACATATTAGACAGATGAATAGATTTCATCTCTCTTAAAAAAAAACCCTTAACACTTGTAGCCAATTTTTCAAGACATTAATTTCTAAACAGGAGATGAAAGGAAAAGAAATCAAAATGCTTAATAACATTTCCAACTTCTTAAAGGCTTGAAGGAACTTGAAACCTTTGGAAGAAAAGCTCCTTGAAAAATGATTTTTCAGACCAGTTTTCACTATTGAGGAGGACGGAACATTTATCAAATAACTTTTAGCTTCAATTTTCACAAAAGCTCAGTTACTGATGGGGTGGATAATAAAATTGAAGAGTTATGTCGCATTAATGGCCACAGTAAATCCTCGTTATATCAAAACATAGAACATAAATAAAGGAAAATAAACCTGACTGAATTAACTGACTTTGTATTACCAAGTCTTTATCAAAAGATTATATGCTCCCAGTTAGCTGGGGAAAAGGAAACTATCGTTGGGTCTTACCAAATCATAAACTATACTCAATAAGAGAGCCTTGACTAAGAAATCACAGAAAGCTGCAGGGGAAGTAACACTGAACTCTAGGCAGGTCTACTCCTGTGTTTGATGATCTTATGGAGTATCTCACTAAAATGTCTTAGAATTGTAGATATTAAGAAGAAAGAGCCTGGTATAATGCAGATTTGGGTTTCAAGAACATTTAATCTATTATCCCAAGTCAGAGTAATATACAAGTTCTTTCTTAGTTTCTAAGAAAACAATATACCAACCTTACCAATGATATACTTGATCTCATTTCTAGAATAGGTTCAATATGACTTTTTTCAAAATTTCCCAAGTTAAGGCTTGGGGTATAGATCAGTGGTAGAGCACCTGGTTAGCATATATTAGACCCTAGGTTCAATCCCCAGCAATGTTGCAGGTGTGGGTACACGCCCTGTACCCGTACACACACACACACACACACACACACACTTTTGAAGATACTATAAATACCAAGGATGAGTTAATGCTGTTACAAGGGTTTTTCTAAAAGTAAAAGCATATAGAGGGGCATGGAAAGATATGGATAGGGTGAAAGACCAAAATTTTCTTTGAAAGTCTTTTCCCTCTGCTCTTCATATTAAATATACTCATATCTAATTCAGCCGTCATTTCCTAAGTGCCTGCTAGAGGAGGATGTTCTTTTTATTTTTGTGCCAGTCCTGGGGTTTGAACTCAGGGCTGGGGCACTGTTCCTGAGATTTTATACTCAAAGCTGGTTCTCTACCACTTGGAGCCAGAGCTCCACTTCTTGTTTTTTATTTTGGAGAGAGAGAGAGAGAATACTCAATGTGAAATCTATCATATTAACATTTATCAAGGTACACATTCCCATGTTCTCAAACATAGGAAGACTGTTGTGCAGCAGATCTCTAGAATTTGTTCATCTTGCCATGAAATTAAAATTTCTAAATACTGAACTTAAAAGTCAATCACACAACCTCTCTTCAACCATCTGAAATAACTGCTTTAAAGGACTAAATACTCCAGCAGCACAAGAAAAGGCTTGAATGAGAAATGGATTTATTTTCTCAAAAGAGAAAGAGAGAGAGCAAGGAAGCAGGAAGGAAGGAAGGAAGGAAGGAAGGAAGGAAGGAAGGAAGGAAGGAGGGAGGGAGGGAGGGAGGGAGGAGGAAAGGGAGAAAGGAAGGAAAGAAAGAAGAAAGAAAGAAAGAAGAAAGAAAGAAAGAAAGGAAGGAAGGAAGGAAGGAAGGAAGGAAGGAAGGAAAGGAAGGAAGGAAAGAAAGAAAGAAAGAAAGAAAGAAAGAAAGAAAGAAAGAAAGAAAGAAAGAAAGAAAGAAAGAAAAAGAAAGAAAGAAAGTGAGCAACTGACAAATCAGACAACTTTTGTTTTCCTTTGGAAGAAGCCTCTAGTCATGGGTGATGATTTACTGTTTCTGGCTCCTGGGCTTTGTGCTGACCAACAGAGAAGAGGAAGGAAATGATATAGTCATTGCCCAAACACATCTGGGTTTGGTTCTAAGCACTAAGCCATATCATAATGTCTACATTTGTCCTTTAAATGTACACCCCATTATCATGTGGTCTGGCAGGAAACTACAGAATGCGAATGGAGGTGGGTATCAAATTCCACCAGATATTAAAGCAGTCTGTTTAGACACCAAGTATGAAACGCTGCCTGCCAGGGTCCCAATGTACCCTGCACTATTTCAGGCTCAGGGGACAGACAAAGGCAGAAGGTGGCTTGGTTTGGGGAGAAGTGTTTAGATGGGGAGTCACGTGAAAGCAGCTACTGAAATGATGGTGAGAGTCAACCACAATCCATGATTCTGTGTTAGGAATTGCTTGTGAGTAGTACTCTTTAGCTTTCTGATTCGGGACATATATTCAAATTGGACTTGACTGAGACTTTTAGAGAAGGCATAGGCTATGAGAAGTTTATACAGTTCCTTAACTATCTCCATGGAACTCAAAATCAATGTTTTGCAGCCCACAAGACAAAGACCAAAGACAGTAATTCTGTAAAAATATCCAAAGATCATGGTTCAAAGCTAACCCTAGCAGAAAAGTTCATGAGACTCTTATTTGCAATTAACCAGCAAAAGGCCAGAAGTGGAGGTATAGGGTGCCAATCTTGGAAAAAAAAAACAGTGGAGTCATGAGACACTAAGTTCAAAGCCTAACAAAAGTCTATCATATGCTTTATCATACTGCATTACCTGTTTATACACCATTACCTGCCTAGAACCTCTCTGGAGACAGAGACAAGTCTTACTTAAATTTACATCGTAAGCACCAGGCAAATGATTGTCAGAATCATGAAATTTCATTTAGTTAGCATATAACTCCGCAAGTGAGAAATGCTTCAACAAAAAGTCCAATATCTGTATTTAGCATTTATTACCTATAGTCATTGTGTAAAGAATTTCTCTGTCCTAATTTGCTTTGTGAAATCTCTTTTTCAAAACTAAAGACAAAACAAACCCTCAAGCCAAACTTCACATCAGTATATAGTTAATGTATAATGATTTCATATAAGCCAATTTGACACTGGTACTATGACAAATCCTCTTTCAAAGAGAACTGATATTGTCTTAGTTAAAGAATTAACTAAGATCTGCTAGTCCTGTCCACTGTGTTCTTGCTGTCCTGTCTTGACATCTTGTGTTGTACAGACACCATTAAAACATTTTCATAGTGAAAAAAAATAATTAACTAAGAAACTAGCCAACATTTGAGTCACACAAAAGGAAGGCAGGGTAGTAGCAATTTACAAGCTGAAAATGGTATTCCAAAGAATACTTTTTACATATCTAGACCAATTAAACACTCTATTCAGAAATACCCCAAGTAGTAAAAGAGATCTCTCCCTCCCTTTCCTTTCCTGAAGTAAACACATACCATTTATCTACATATTTTTAATTAAAATAATAATTTGTTTTGCTTAGAACTAGATTGTTTTTTGCTCAAATGAGAAAAATATACGATGAAACTATTAGTCTCTCTCTCTTTAGGCCCTATTTTTGAGAGAAACATCAAGAATTTCATATGAATTTGTGAATGCTATTTTCTTACTATATACTTGCCCAACATGGTTCTCTTATGTAATCATTAACACTAATGTGTCATGTTAAAAGGCTTTGTAAACTATATGGCATTATATAAATGTGCATTATTAGTATTATCAAGTAGCCCATTAATTAAATACAGCAAAATTAGAAAAATGGAAATTTTCATTTTCATTAGTCTTCGTAAGTATTAACTAATTATACTCTGGTAAATGTTAATATTGTAGTCCATTTAAAAGTTGAATAAAATTAGGAAAAGAGTTGTTATTTGTACAAGGTCTTTGATTCAGCTGTGGGTACATTCCAAATTAAATGGGAGCAAACGCCCCAGAACTTTAACCTGACCAATTACTTCTCATTTCCTTTGCCTCAAGTGACTGTGATTAACAAACCTCTCATTTAGCATTTTCCCCCAAGTTGGTAACTGTTGGTTAATGCTTCATTTTTTACTCTAAGCTCTTTTATAATGGTTTCTTAAAAATGCATTGATAATCCTGGATTTTCTTAAAGGTACCATAGAAACCCAAACTTTATAGTTAAAACTCATTTCCCTAAGCTTTCGTTAACTTAAATGAAAGATATGTGAAATAGTGATTTTTTGAAGCCTCCTGAGCTGATAGCACAGACAGGCAGCAGGTGCAATAAGCCAAAGCAATGTTATAGCTTATTGATTAGCCATGGCTTCCCTGGAGGACCATATTGGGTAAGACCCAAGGCTCTGTGGGAGTTCAGAGGAAGAATTCTGAGATCAATTAGGAATGTCTGTCTTTGGCATGTCCTGGATGTGGACAACTGGAGTGTAGTATTTTTACTGTCCCAGGTCTAGGTTGATAAACAGCAGCAGGGAGCTGGGGTAAAGTCTACTTATTAGCCACTGCTGAGAAAGCATATCGACATTCTGAGAAAAAGCAAGTTTAAGGAATCACGGGTCTTCACACAGAAGACTTGGCTTTATATAAATGTCAAGTGAACATATCACCCTATTATAAGTGGTTATGTAACCCCTAACGGCTTACTGAGAAGTCATTCATAAGAAAGGTGTATGAATCCCCTACTCCCTTAAGTGTTGGACCACTACAAGTAAGAAATGACCACTTTCTTAACAAGTTTTCCTCCACATTCACCTTTAAATCCAACACAAATCCAGTTACTTTATGGTCAACCTGATCTTCAGATCTGCCCCCTCCAGATGAAAGCTGGACTCAACCAGCCATACCTCCTCCTGACTCTCACAGAGAAAAGAAGCAACAGGCAGCACCAAGAAAAACCCATTCCTCCAACTAGTTTTCCCAAGAAAAACTTGGAAACTACAATGAACCTAAAAATAACTATTATCATGAGAAATGAATGGACTTTAGCTGTGTTAAGAGGGACTAAACATCCCCTGATCTGTTCACAAAACCTTAGCTTTAGCTGATTTTCTAATCTACCCCCAAAATAATTTTTTTAAAAAAAAGCACATTAGGGAGTGAGGTGGGTGGGGGAGGGAGAAAATTCGTTCCAAGCTGCTTACGATTGCCTTCTGCCTCTGCCTCTCTCTCTGTTTGGACCTTTCTGATTCCCGCTTCTCATGTTCTTTGCGATATTCCTCCCTCTTCAGCCGTTCATGTTGATACGCCTCGTAACTGTCATACCTGGAAAACATAACTTCATCATCAAACCAACCGCCTCCCTTGACACGACGACATGAATCATAATTTGGGTAGGGGAGAAAGGCTTTGGATAATCTCTTGTCATTGAAAGGAGGGGGAGAAGAAAAGCAGTGATAACTAAAGGACATGCTTCATTACCTGGGTCTCCGGCTGTAGGGTGATCTTGAACGTGATCTCACATACAAGGGAGAATTTCGGTGTGTGCGGTATCTGCAGTGGCTTGACTCATAATAGTAGCAGGACCTGAGAGAGAGGAGGAAAATAAAAGGGACATTTGCAACTGTCACCCCCCAGTTTATTGGCATTAGTGAACATTCTCCAGAACACTGTCCTACATAAACTGGCTTTTCCTTCCTACCTACTAGTGAGACATTGCAATGGCAGTTTGGATCAGCTGGTCAGCTCTAAGGGCCTGCAGCCACATCCTCCTTCTCTGGGCCCCTTAATGGTACTAACCCTGAGCAACCAGGCCCAGCCCATTGCCAGCTGTATCTGGGATGGATTTCAAGTTTCCTGGCACAGGACAGCTCTCCCAATAATGAGAAATATTTGATGAGCAAGTCTTTTACCAATTGCTGTCTCTATTCTTATGGCTCAAAGTGAGAGATGTAAGAGAAAATAGGAAGGAAGAAGTGGATAAAAACATTACTAATTCTAGCAACCCTGGGAATGCTGAGGGTAAGGGGCTGAATGGGTTGTGGGGTCAGAAGGGTTCTTTGACTTCCTGGGAAACACCGAAGGCATTGGCTGGGTTTGGACAAGGTTTACCTGGAAGAGGATCTACTGCCTGGGGACCTTGATCTTGACCTGGAATACGGTGATCGTGAACACGATCTGTGTCGAGAAAAGGACCTTGAACGAGAGCGCATCCTTTGGGGTCTCTGAGAAAATAAGGATTTGGGTGGTGATACTGAATCTCTACACGGAGAGTTAAAAGAAGAGCAAGAAGGCGACACATCGAACAACGAGTAGGATCGCGTGCCCTCCCACGGGTAGCTCAGTTTATCACTTTCATCTTCACTGTCATCAAACAGGCCGTCCATGGCTAGTCCTGAATTTATAAACATAGGTAGTTTGGAGAATTGTTCATTACTGAAGTCACTGTCCCTCAGTTCACTGGTCTTGTCTGCTTCGTCGTCGAAAACAGCTTGACTGGGATGGCCGAAGTGCTTGTTCAGCTCGGCCCGAATTTCCTGGTCTTGGAGCTGTTTTCTGGTACTGCAGGGTGAGACCTGCTTGCTGGCCTCCAAAGTCTCTCTCAAGTAGCACTGGTCTGAATCCGTGGAAGAACAAATGTGCCTCTGCCAGTCAGAGGAGGCATCTTTGTAGGTTAGTTGTCTGGAGTCTTGGAGCTCCTGTGATATATTGATGAGTATTTCCGTTTTGGAATTAATCGACTGACAATAGTCATGGTCACCAAACAGCCGTAGGCTGGGTCGTTTGGGTTTCCTTTCCTCGTGTCCACTGCTGAGCACAGAGGACTTACTGAGCTGTGCATACAGCTCAGATTGCTCCGGCCCTTTCTTGGTGGAGTGATTGTTTTGGGTAGCAGAAGACTCACTGTACCGGGGTTTCTTTGATGGTGGTGGCACTGCAGTCTTGCAAGAGGACTTCAGCTTGGGAGAAGCCCTGAAAGGGCTATCTTGGTTGGCTTTATGAGGAGGAGTGGTAGGTGGAGTTAGGCCTAAGGTTAAACACAAAACAAAACAAAAACAAAAACAGAAAAAGAAAGAAAAATAATAATAGAGAGAGATGAAGGAAAGAGACGGAGAGATAATGTTCTTAAATGATAAGACTCATTTCTTTTTAAACTTGCCAAGATTTCAGACCAGGTTTAAAACTCAGTTAAAGAAGAAGAAAGAAATTCACACGATCTGAAAAACTATGTCTTCTCTTAAGCCTCTGTCACCCAGAAAAGATGGATGGACAAGGCCAAACAGCACAGTGAGGGCTGTGATATTTTGTATCTCAAGACACCAATCAATGTTAAGACATCTGGCTTCTCAGAAAACACGAACGAACGTGCCACCGCTGCCCGGATGGTGCCAGGCATTACCCAGGCTCACATTCTCAAAGGTTCAACATAGGCTGACTAATGGAAAATCAACAGGAATCAGAAGAGAGAGAGAGAGCCTTGCAGGCATTTGTCAGCAAACAACATTTCAGAGGATGTCTTGGTTCAAAGGTCTTTGCCCAATCCAGAAAAATCTATCCTTGGCGCCAAGGAATTTAGCATTAAAAAAAAAATGGAGTGGCAGTGAGCATCACTTGAGATGGGACTAACCTAGACAAGTTTGAAGTTACGTTCAGTCCAACAGACGAGACAACCACAGACGAATTCGGGGAAATGGCTTGACGGTAATGATTCTTTGCCTCCACAGTTCATTAACTTAGTAAACCATGGCTAATGTAGGTATAATACATTCTTGTAAGCATAACTAATACATTCTGTCGAAAATATGGTCCTGCGACAGAAACCAAAGTGCCCGGTGGTGTAAATACCACTGTGCCGGGGACCATTTTGTATAGTGCACACGTCACACAGAATGATGAGACAGAGAGACTGAAACAAATTCAGACTTCAGCAACTAATTAAATTAGGAAGAAGTAAAAGGAGCAATGGAGTCACTTCTCAGCGGTGGCCCATTTCATTGTGTCTCAAAAGGGCAGAGCCTTCTACCAGACACTATGGTCAAGAAGTCAGAGGCAAAGTAGTTGCCTCTAAGTTTCACCCCTGAGTAAATATGACTCATGCCTGTATGCTGAAGAAGTACTGTGAACTGGCTGGTTCCAGAGTCCAGGGAACTTTGAAGAAGAGCAGGCTGGAGTTCAAATGACTTTTTGCTTACAAGGGAACATTTTAGTTTACAACACACTTTCTATTTAGGAGCAATGGAGGATTGGCGAATGCCACTCAGCAAAAAGAACTTGAAGTCTGTTAACAAGCCTGGGGTTAGACTTAAGGCAACTGCACATTTCAAGGGAAAAAAGTTCTACCTTGCTGTATGTATGTATATGTATATATAATATATATATAAATATAAAACCAAGTAGGTCACAGTAATCCACATGAAATTTTGATATAAAGCAGAAAGATGCTGCTGCCTTACTCTTCTATTTTCCAATAAAGAAGTGGAAGAAATAAATTATTTTCCCCCCTCAAAATAAAATATCTGACATCAATATTTGGGAACTTTTAGCATTCCTAGCTAATTCTCTCTGTGTAAGGAAAGGTATAACAATGTCAAGGGTTTGGACTTTGGAATTCCAGCCCAGAAAAGTTGATGTCACACCAGTGCAAATATGAGAGCCTCACAAGTGCTTTTGTGTCGCAGAAAGTCATGTGTCCTTTTCCCAAATGAAAGTCTGCATCATTCCTCTTACGTTTCCCTTTTCACAGATGAATGTGTCTTCTAGTCCATATAAAACCTTCTACTACATTCCATTTTCTCCTCTCTCTCTGTTTCTCTCTCTCTCTTTCCCCACAACATGCTCCCTCTTGTCTGGTTTATCATCTCCACGGCCCTCATTCATACCACAGGCTACATTCAATTTACCAACACAATACATTAAAAAGTATTAAAGCCCAGGAAAGAAATGGCAAGTTCTCAACCACTGTTCACAAGAACCAGAGGAGAACTAATGACAATGAACCTCTCTTGGCTGAGTAAATACCAGTCAAATATACAAAAAGCTACAACCCTGAATTAGAGAAAATGACATTCAACTTCCAAAAATCCAGCTTCATAATTTGTTTATGATCACTTTATTTTAGAATGATTTATACCCAAATAATTAATCTATGGTCAGTATCCCTCACTACACATCTATAAAATATTTCTGTATTTTCTTGTTACCATCTTCAACTTCAAATTATTGTCTAGTCTCTCCAAAGACAAGCAAGTACTTTGTGAGATAATGCTTGGATTAATTAATTGCAACATTTGTGTGTGTGTGTGTGTGTGTGTGCGCGCGCGTGCACGCGCATGTGCACGTGCACGCTGCTTCTGGGACTTATTCTTAGCACCTGGGCACTATATCTGAGCTTTTTGTGCTCAAAGTTGGTACTCTACTGCTTGAACCACACCTCTACTTCAGTTTTTGCTGATTACTTGGAGATAAGAGTTTCACAGACTTTTCTGCCCAGGCTGGCATTGAACTGTGATCATCAGCTCTCAGCCTCCTGATCATTGTAACATTTGAACATTTATTTTTATTTTCCTTTTAGATGACTCAGAAATGAGAGTACTTCTCATTTCCTAGGAAATCCAGGTTTTACACATCTCCATAACCCAGTACCTTCTACTCCCAAATGTATGTGTTTTGACAGATATTCTAGATGTATAAAAAGAAACCTAAATTTCAGAAATGCCAAATTAGGCCACTGTTAAAGAGAGACAAGTTCTAAAATTAGCTCAGCTATCTAGGGATTTTAAATATAGAAATTCTTTTCCATCTAGAAAATCTGAAACCTTTGTCCTAGTACCTAAGCTCATTATTGCTTAAATAACTGGTTCTCAAGTTGCTCCTGGGAGTGATGACATACTAATTGTATTTCCTTTGAGGTAAAAGAACAACAACAAATTTTCCTAACTTGCTCACGTGTGAGTCACTTCTGGCTACTGAGCAGACATTTACTGTGAACTTGCTATGTGGCATCTACTTCTGGAACTTCAAAGACTCAGTTCCCAAGAACTTCATCCTTCATTTTAATAAAGAGGTAATTCTTTCAAATTTGAAATATTTATATTTTTCTGACCAATGTATGCAGAAAAACTAGAAACACTGAGATGCAACCAACTGCATCCTATGGAGGAAAACCCCAGGAGGTTAAAGTTTTGTTGCCCTCACTTGTTCAACTAAATCAACAACACTTGATTATTGAATGAGAAATTCATACATTTAGGGGTAGCAGAAAACAATTTCAATAGTTCCCTAAACTTTTCACACTTTTCCTATCTTGGATCAGAAAAATACCTCGGCCTTAGACACAAGTCTCCGGGATGGCAAGATGTTGTATAACCAAGTGCCTAATTGTCAATCTAGTTTCAGATATATAGATGGGACCCATGGCAAAGCAAAATAAAATACAAGTGCAAGGATCACTTTAAAAATTCCTTTGAAGATAGTAGCAAACTTTGAAGAACTGTTGATGGGACAGACTACCCCTGTAACTGGTATTTCATTGGTTAGATTTTTCTAACCTGGCCTTCTCTACCCACAATCCCTTCCCTCCAGTAGGAAGAAGGTCACTACTCAAATCCTTATTGCTGCTACCTTTACTCATCTTCCTACTAATTGCCAGACTCTCAATTTCATGCCCCACGACTAAATCAACAATGTCAATGTCTGCTATAACCTCTGGATTATTTCCTGTGTGTTGATTTTTCTGGGGAACGTGTACATTTTTGGTGTTGACAGTACAAGGTATATTCCATGCTCTCTCTTGAACTTAGCAGGTTTTGACAGATTTATGTGAGGACAGATGGCCATTACAGGCTGAAGGCTGACAAGAGGCAGTTCAGAGCATTGTTAACACACTTGCACCAACTCTCAGCAGTGCAGCTCTGTGCAGAATGTAATTCAGACTATAGCTTTTTTATTGCTGCCTATTTTCTTTTGTCAAAAGAGCCTGCTGTGCAGAGCAACAAATGGCTGCTATTACCCAGAATGTAATGGGTGTCAGACAAATCACGTAACACAAACAATCAAGAGTATGTAGGTCATATTTCAACAGAGCACAACCTTAGCAATATTTATGATTACTGCATTGAAATGTGCTCTATAATAAACAAGTACCTCTACATCACTCACACTTATGCACTTTGGCATGGCAAATCTCGAAGAAGTGGCACACAATCTTTTTAAACAGTCCTTTTATTTAATATATATATATACATGTATATTAAAGTCAGACAAGTTTGGTTTGGTTTGGTTTTTCATTATGTGCTCTGGGGGGGCGAGATTTCCTTGGAGGACTTCTCTTTGGGGTTTGTTTGTTTAATTGAATGACTCTGATAAATGAGAAAGCAGGCCTCCACTCTGTTTCTTGTGCGCCAGTATCCATTCAACAACTTCAGCAGGACTTTCCTCCCTTTGTGTAGCTTAGGTTTTACTATTGTACAGAACAGACTGCTAACTCTATAACAAACTTCTGGATTCATTTTACAGTAAGATTGTGCTTGGGTGGCATGCCAAGCCAGGTATTTAAAGAAAAGCATGTATGGTACTGGCACCTCATGCCTGTAATCCTAGTTAGTTAGGAGGCTGAGATCTGAGGATTGAGGTTAAAAGCCAGCCCATGCAGAAAAGCCTATGAGGAGACCATATAGCCAATTTAAAGCCAGAAGTGGAGATACAGTTCAAGTAATAGAGTACAAACCTTGAATAGAAAAGCCAGAGAGTGCTTCGGAACCTGAGTTTAAGCCCCAATGTGGCATAAAACACAAACAAAAGCAGGTAAGTTTCTAATTTGCTTAAATAATTACTAAGAGAGGAAAACTGGGCAAAGGAAAGGGTGTCACTTGTTCTCACCAACTCTAGGCCTCTAGAACTTGGAGTAAGTGTGGAGAGAAAACAGAGGAGACTCACATTCTGTGGGTCCTCCTGGGCTACTCCAGTGGTTTACAAGATTTGGCCAATAGAAGCTTCTCTAATGCCCCTGTTCCCACTTTCCCAGCCTTC